GTGGTTAAAGAGCACTCTCTGTATAATTTTAATTTTTTCAAAATCATTTGAGTTTGTTTTGTGGCCCAGGATAGTCTATCTTGGTATATGTTCCATGGGTATTTAAGAAAATGCGTAGCTGCTGTTGTTGAGTGTTCTATGAATGTTGAATATACCCTGTTGGTAGATGGTGGTGTTGAGTTCTTCTATATCTTTGCTAATTTTCTTATTGTTTTATGAGTTGTTGATAGAGCAATGTTGAAGTTTCCAACTATAACTGTGGATTTGCCTAATTCTCATTTTGGTTGTACCATTTCTTGCTTCATATATTTTGCAGCTCTGTTATCTGGTACATATATACTTGGGATGAATCTTTTTAAATAATGTACTTCTCTATCTCTTATAACATACTGTACTCTAAAGTCTAATTTATCTTATACTAATATATCAATTTCTGCCTCCCTTTGATTAACATTTGCATGATTTATCTATTCCTACCCATTTTATTTTATTTTTAATTGACACATAATAATTGCACATATTTATGGAATACAGTGTGATATTTTGATACCTATATACAACCTATAATGGTCAAATCAGGGTAATTAGCATACCCACCACCTCAAACGTTTATCATTTCTTTGTATTGGGAAGATTCAAAATCCTCTCCTATAGCTACTGAAAAATATAGATTATTGTTAATCATAGTATTCTATAGGGCTAAAAACACTAGAACTTATTCTTCCTGTCTAGCTGTAATTTTATATCCATTAACCAACCTCTTCCTAGCCCCTCTTCCCCCCACCTTTCCAGCCTATAGTTACACCTAAAGAAAATACTTGTAAACTATTAATCTGACAACAGATTAATATCCAGAACTCAAACAACACAAAAGCAAAGAAAAATTTTAATAAGCAAATTATCTCAATAGACATTTCTCAAAAGACATACAAATGGCGACAAGTGTATAAAAAGTGCGGAACATTACTAATCATCAGGGAAATGCAAATCAAAACCACAATGAGATACTGTCTCACCCCAGTTAGAATGGCTATTCTCAAAAGAACAAAAAATAACAAGAGCTGACTAAGGAGAAAAGGAAACTTTTATACACTGTTGGTGAGAATGTAAGTTAATATAGTCATTATGGAAACCAGTATGGAGATTCCTCAAAAAACTAAAAATAAAACTACCATATGATCTAGCAATCCCACTACTAGGTATACAGTTAACCCTTAAACAACAGAGGTTTGACCTACACAGGTCCATGTATATGTAGATTTTTAAAAATATATATATTGGAGAATTTTTTGGAGATTTGCAAATATTTGAAAAACCTTATAGAGAAACCACATAGCTTAGAAATATTAAGCAAATAAGAAAAAAAAAGATATGTCATGAATGTATAAAATACATGTAGATACTAGTCTATTTTATCATTTACTGCCATAAAATATACACAAATTCATTATAAATAGGTAAAATGTATCAAAACCCACACACAAACACTTAAAGACCATATATGAAGCCAGGGGAAATCAAGAGAAACATAAACAAAAATAAAAATGCACTATTAAATCATAACTGCATAAAATGAACTATAGTACACATTGTATTACTGTAATAATTTTGTAGCCACCTCCTGTTGCTATTGCAGTGAGCTCAAGTATTGTGAGTATCTGCTTAAAACACCGTGTGACACTAATTATCTCTGTGTGGGCAGTTTGTCTTTCCAGTAAATTGCATAGCACAATAAAAAGTGATCTCTCACAGTTCTCACGTATTTTTCATTGTGTTTAGTGCAATACCATGAACGTTGAATAACACTGTGAAACTCATACAAAGAGCCACTAGTGATGCTAGAGATGCTTCCAAGAAGCAGAGAATAGTCACAACATTAGAAGAAAAAGTTGATTTACTTAATATGTACTGTAGATTGAGGTGTGTAGCTGTAGTTGCCCACCATTTCAAATGAATACAGTGTAAGGACCATTGTGAAAGAAAGGAAAGAAAAATGGTGAACCTGTCACTGCAGCTATTCCAGCAGGCATGAAAACCTTGCACTTTTTGTGAAATATTAATACCTTCTCATCTCATATTGAAAATGCAGCTTTTATGTGGGTTCAGGATTGCTATAAGAAAGGCATACCTGTAGACTCCACTATGATTTGAGAAAAAACAGTCATTATATGACAACTGGCAGCAATAGGAAGGTGAACGGTCTAAAGCTGGAGAATTTAATGCCAGCAAAGGATAGTTTGATAATTTTAACAAGATGTTTAGCTTTAAAAATGCCAAGAAAACAGGAGAAGCAGTTTCTGCTGACCAAGAGACAGCAAATAAATTCCCAAATGCTGTTAAGAAAATCATCAAAGAGAAGGCCACGCATGGTAGCTCATGCCTGTAATCCCAGCACTTTGGAAGGCCAAGGTGGGTGGATCACCTGAGGTCGGGAGTTCGAGACCAGCCTAACCAACATGGAGAAACCCCATCTCTACTAAAAATACAAAATTAGCCAGGCGTGGTGGTGCATGCCTGTAATCTCAGCTACTCGGAAGGCTGAGGCAGGAGAATCGCTGGAACCCAGGAGGCGGTAGTTGCAGTGAGCCAAGATTGCTCTCCTGCACTCCAGCCTGGGCAACAAGAGCAAAACTCCATCTCCAAAATAAAAAAAGAAAGAAAGAAAAAGAAAATCATCAAAGAGAAAAAACATCTGCCTGAACAAGTTTTTAATGCAGACATAAGTGTGCCAGTTAGTGGAGGGAGGTTCTGGGTGAGGCCACAAAGGACATTTATTAGTACGGAGGAGAAGTGAGCACTAGGATTTAAAGCAGGGAAAGGATAGACTAACTCGACCATTTTGTGCAAATGTAGTCAGGTTTATGATCAAGAATGCCCTTATCCATAAAGTTACTAACTTCCAGACCTTGAAGGGAAAATATAAACACTAGCTGCCAGTCTTTTGGTTGTACAACAAGAAGGCCTGGACAACAAGAATACTTTTTCTCAAGTGGTCCCAGCAAGTTCAGCACGAAGGCACTGAAATGGCCTCCTTGCCCCCAAGCACAATGTCTCTAATTCAGCTTCTAGATCAGGGAGTTATCAGGCTCATTTGCACTTGGTAGTGTACAGAAAGGATTGTCAACTCTATGGAAGAGAACATCATGAATGTTTGAAAAGATTACACCAGTAAAGATGCCATCATTGTTACAGAAGAGGCCACAGAAGCCATCAGGTGGAAAACAATAGATTCCTGCTGGAGGTAACTGTGTCCAGATGCTGTGCGTGGTTTCGTAGGATTTACAACAGAGAAGACCAAGGAAATCATCAAAGAGATTGTGAATATATCAAAAAGGTGGGACATGAAGGGATTCAAGATATGAATCTCAGAGATATTCAAAATCTAATAAACACCACAGCAGAGGAATTAACAGAAGACAACTTCATGGAGATGAGCGCTTTTGAATCGGTACTAGATGATGTGGAAGAAGACATAGAAGAGGCAGTGCCAGAAAACAAATTGACATTAGATGATCTGGCAGGAGGGTTTCACTTATTCACGACTGCTTTTGACTTCTTTTACAATGTGCTCCCTTCTATGACATGGGCACTGAAAGTAAACCAACTGATGAAAGCAGGAGTAGTACCATATAGAAACACTTTTAGAGAAATGAAAAAAAAAGTCAGACAAAAATTATGATGTATTTCCATAAGGTTACACCAAGTGTGCCTGCCCTACCTGCCTCCCCTTCAACCTCTTACACCTCTTCAACCTCAGCCATCTTTGAGAGCGCAGGACCAACCCCTCGCCTTCCTCCTCCTAATCAGCCTACTTAATGTGAAGAGGCAAGGATGAAAACCTTTATGATGATCCATTTCTACTTAATGAATAGTAAATATATTTCTCTTCCTTATTTTTTTAATACATTTTTTCTCTAGCTTACTTTATTGTAAGAATACTTTATATAATACATATAACAGAAAATATGTATTAGTCAATTGTTTATGTTATCAGTAAGGCTCTGGTCAACAATAGGCTATTGGTCGTTAAGTTTGGGGGGAGTCAGAAGTTAATGTGTGAGTTTTCAGTCGCACAGGGGTTGGCATCTTTAACTCCCACATTATTTAAGGGTCAACTGTATATCCAGAAGAAAGGGAATCAGTATGTTGAAGTGATATCTGTACTGGCATGTTTATTGCAGCACCGTTCACAGTAGCCAAGACATGGAATCAACCTAAGTGTCCATCAATAAGATAATTAGATGAAGAAAATGTGGTAGAGATAGATAATTGAATACTATTCATCCATAAAAAATAATGAAATCCTGTCATTTGCAGCAATATGGATGAGCCTGGAGAACATTACGTTAAGTGAAATAAGACAAGAACAGAAAGGTAAGTACTGCATGTTATCATTCATATGTGAAAGCTAAAAATGTTGATCTCTTATTCCTACCTTTTATTTTCAACTTGCATGTAGTTTGTGAATTTCTTACAAACAGCAGATTGATTCAAGTATTTTAATCCAGTTTGACAATTGTCTTTTAATTAATTATTGATATGTCAGTGCTTAAGTCTACCATTCTTTTGTGTTTGTTCTCTCTGCTTTTAGTTTCTGGGGTCTTTTTTTTCCTAACTTCCTATGTTACTTAAGCATTGCTAGAATTCCTTTTTAATATACGTATAATAATTATAGTGTTATCTCTGTATAGGTGTTCTAGTGGTTGCTCTAAATATTACATTATATGCACATAACATTTCATAGTCTAATTGTAACTTTACCAGTTTCTGTAAACTATAAAAACCTTACCTCTTTTATGTCCTTTTACCTTCTTCCATTAATAATATAATTGTCTTAAATGTTTCTTCTGCACACATTTAGAACCACATCAAACAGTATTACATTTCTGCTTCAACCTCAAAATGTAATTGATAAAGGTCTGGAGTAAAAGGAAACCCTGTTAGCCTGTTACATTTGTTTACCATGTTTTTCTCAGATTTTTGCTCAGATTTTTGCTTACCACGTTCTTTCTTTCTTCCTGATGTTCCATGGTTTCTTCTTCTACCACTGCATTTCTGTTTAGAAAACTTTCTTTAGCTGTCCTTTCTGGGTATAGATGGGCTGGAAACAAATTGTCATAGTTTTCCTTCATCTAAGAATCAGATGATTTCCTCTTCATTCCTGAAAAATATTTTTGCTCAGTATAAGATGCCAGTGGACAGTTCATTCTTTTCACTGCTTGAAAAATATTGTGCCACCTCCACACGGACTACATAGTTTCTGAAGAGAGATCTGCTATTATTTAAAGTGTTTTCCCCCATAGCTAAAGTATCATCTTTCTGTGGCTGCTTTCAAGATTTTAAAATCCTGTAACTTTAGTTTTCAAAACTCTCATTCGGATGTGTCTGATATAGATTTCCTTAGGTGTATCCTCTTTGGGGTTGGATCAGCTTCTCATAAAGGCAGGTTTATGTCTCTTGCCAGGTTTTCTGCCATTACTTACTCAAGCCATTTTTCAGTCCTACCCTTTCTCCTCTCCTTCCAGAAATCCAATGACATGAGGCTTAGATCTTTTCTTATATTCCCATATCTCCCTGAAGCTATATTTATGGGTTTTTTTTTTTTTTTGGCTTTTAATCTATTTTCCCTCTGTTATTCAGATCGGATAATTTGGTTGTTCTATTTTTGAGTTCACTGATTTTATCTTCTGTCCCCTCCATTATGCTGTTGGGCACATACAGTGTTTTTTTGTTTGTTTGTTTGTTTGTTTGTTTTGGTTACTATATTTTCAGTTCTAAAATTTCTGTTTGTAAATATTTCTATTGTTATATCCTCTATTTCTTTGCTTTGACTTTCTGTTTCTTTGTGGAGGCTTTAATATTTTTGTTTCAAGCAGGTTTGTAATTGCTTATTGAAGAACTTTTAGCATAACCACGTTAAAGTCTTTGTGAGATAATTCTAACATGTCTGTTACCTTGGTATTGGCATGTCTTGATTATCTTCTACAGTCACTTTGGACTCTTTCTGCTTCTTGGTATGATAAGGGATTTTTTACTGAAATCTGAACATATTGCTATTATGTTATAAGGAGGGATCTCATTTAAACCTTTTGTTTTACCTGGCTTTTCCTGACACTTCTCTGATGAGGGAATGTGGTATGCACCACCTTGTTACTGCCAGTTAGAGGTAGAAGCACAGGTTCCCCACCTGGCCTTCATTGTCACCTGAGGTGGGGTGTTCTCTGTTACTGCTAGGCAGCTGCAATGGTTCTAGTGCCTCATGTGGTATCCACTGATACCATAGTGAGAGCGGCCTTATTGCCACTGAACAGTGACAAAGGCCCTGACTCTTAGCTAGGCCTCCTATGATGCCATCCCAGTGAGGAGGGGGAGGGATCCCATGTCACTGCCAGGTGGGTGTGGAAGTCCCGGCCCCATATATGGTCACCATTGACACCACAGTGGGGATACCCCACTACTATGTGGTGGGGATAGAAGTCCCAACACCCTACTTGGTCTTCTCTAACACCATTCCAGTGTGGGTATTGAGCCATGTCATGACAGCCTTGCAAGGGCGGGCATCTAGTCTCCCTACTCAACCTTTGCTGGTTGAATGGAAATGATGGACAGTTTTTTCTGTGGTGTTTGGCAGAAAGAGAGAAGTTATTGTTCATACTTCTAGTCCTTTCTGTCCTTCTCGGCTTCCCTTTCTTGGACTTTTAGCTAGAAGAGCCGGCTTTTCTCGTTTTTCATTTGTTTGGGTTTTGTTTGTTTGTTTGGTTTGGTTTTTTTTGTTTTTTCTCTGTGCCCACTGGCATTTCTGGGCTGCTAATTTCTCCACCAAAAAGTCTGGAATATAGAAGACAAAAAGAAAATTCAGGGAACCCACCACCAAGTCATTCTTCTGGCCCCAAGGCCCTAGCCAGTCAGCATTCTTCTTTTTACCTTTCAGAGCCTTCTTATGTTTGATTTATATAAACAGATATGCCTCAACTTACAATGCTGTTACATTCAAATAAATCCATTGTAACATGGTAACATGAAAATACTGTTTCAAAAATGCATTTAATACAGCTAATCGATGGCCTACTTTAAATATGCTTAGAACACTGAAATTAGCCTACAGTTGGGCAAAATCAGCTGGCAACACAGAACACTGCAGAGTCTTAGATGCTCACACTCCTGATTCTGTAGCTGACGGGGACCTGCAGACACTGCCCAGCATCACAGGAAGGTATCATACCACACATCCCTAGCCCAGGAAACATCAAAATTTAAAGTGTGAAGCATGGCTTATACTGAATGCATTTTTCTTTCACACCATTATAAAGTTGAAGTCAGACCATTGTAAGTCAGAGACTGTCTATAGAACAAAAAGTAGAACATGAAGCAAGGTAAAAACTGTACTCAGAAGATAATGTATAACATAAAAATGTTTTTATTATTAAGAAAACTGAAAATGAAAGAGTCCTACTAGGTTTTTAATTAAGAAAACAATAAAACTATTTTAGAAAAGAAGGTAGATATTTTATAAATAAAAAGGCATAAATCTATAAAACAAAAAGCAAATGTTTGTCTTGTGCACTATGATATGCTACACATCCCAAACTTTAGTTTACACACACACACACACACACACACACACACACACACACACACACATATATATATATATTTTGCATGTTTTGCTGAGCTGGCATGAAATCTGAAAGACTTGAACACTACACTTAACAAGCTTCATCTAATGCAAATACAGAAAACAGTGTTAGAGGAACACACCTGGTATGTCATTTCATGTGGTGGGGATTTCATTAGAGTAACACTTCTGGCCATTCTTCAATCCTAACATACTCTTCCCCAAAGGATTAATCTTATCGTTCAGCATAGAAAGAAAAATGTGGCATACAGATGCCTAATCCTTCCCCTTCTCTTTTTCTTAGAACTAAGCTTCTGATAGGGACTAAATAATCTGCTCTAATACTCTCTGACTTAACTTGGCCATAGTAACTACCATCCATTATGAGAGAAGGCCACATCGGCCTAGCATGTCCCAAAACCACGTGGATTACTCTGCCTAAATGTTTAGTGTTAAGACATTCACTTGCCCATAGCTTTAAGCCACAGTCAAAACATCACCTTGATCAGTAATAAAAGGAATAAGTTGGACACCATCTGTCAACATTTTGTTTCATTTGTTGATGCTACCGGAACTCTTGAGGAGAAGACAGGTGTATTTGGTTGACTACCCTCTAAAAATCCAACAATAATTACAGGATGCACTTTTTACTTAAATTCGCATGGGACATTTGTTAAAATTCACAATATACTAGACCATAAAACACAGCTCAGCAAACTTCAAGGAACTGATAGCATATCAAATATGTTCTTCTTTAACTCAAAAGTCACTCAACAGAAATAAGTGAAAGGAACCATTGTTTTAAAAACTCGCTTTTGAAATTACAAAGTGAAACAATTTTTACTAACTCAAGAGTCAAGTAGAAGACTATAATGGAGATTTTATAAATACTTAATACTAAAACATAATAAAACATATAAAAATATATAGGATACAATGTTTAGAACAAATTTGTGACCTTAAATACTTATATTACAAAAAAAAAAGCTAATGAAATATACTCTTATCTTAACAAGTGTAAAAAAAATCAGAATAAAAATGAATCAAGATTAAGGGTATAATAAACTTAAAACTAACCATTAATAAAATAGAAAACAAAAAATAACAAAGGTCAGCAAAGCTGAAAAGAAAGATCTAGGAGCCGGGCGCGGTGGCTCACGCCTGTAATCCCAGCACTTTGGGAGGCCGAGGCGGGCGGATCACAAGGTCAGGAGATCGAGACCACGGTGAAACCCCGTCTCTACTAAAAATACAAAAAATTAGCCGGGCGCGGTGGCGGGCGCCTGTAGTCCCAGCTACTCAGGAGGCTGAGGCAGGAGAATGGTGTAAACCCGGGAGGCGGAGCTTGCAGTGAGCCGAGATCGCGCCACTGCACTCCAGCCTGGGCGACAGAGCGAGACTCCGTCTCAAAAAAAAAAAAAAAAAAAGAAAGATCTAGGAAAAAACCATAAAATTTACAAATTTGTAGCAATATGAAGAGAGAGAACACCACCATTACCAACAACAGTAAAATAAGATGTAAGAAATATTGAGTATCTTTAGGCATATCTAGAGATATCTTGGATATTAAAATGACTATAAGTGAGTATTATGAAAAAATTCATGCCACTAAATTATAAAGCACAAAGAAAAGATGCAAATTCCGAGAAAAATATAGATTACTAGCACTGATTAACAAAGAAATAGAAAACACAAATGGTTCTACAACTATTTTTTTAACTGAAATATTCATTAATGTTTTCTGAATGAAAACGTGAGGTCAAGGCACATTTACAGGGAAGTTCTACCTAACACACAAAATAGAAAAAAATTTAATTTAAAATATTTCCAGACTATTTTTAAAAGGAAAAAACACATTAACTTGTATTAGTCAATTGGCATATTCTTTAATCTAAAACCTGACAAAATTGGTACAAGAAACAAAAATTATAAGCAAACTTTAATTTTGAACCTCAATGTTAAAATTCTAAGGCAACTATTACAAACCAAACAAGCAGCATATAGTATTTCAGAAATGGCCAAATTAGATTCATCTCAGGGATGCACAGTTAACCTGATATTATTGATAAAAATCATTTTTTTAATGCCAAAGTAGCTTGTATCAAGTTAAACATCATGCAGCTAACAATTACCTGCTCTGGAAAAAATGTATAAAAACTATTTAAAGTCATAAAAAATGACAAAACCAGGCAGGAACTGAGGAGATTAAATATTTCAAAGAAAGGAAATGAACTGAGACAGATATATGTTTACATGGTATATCAATCAGGTTGTCCAGAGAAGCAGAACCAAGAGGATACACACAGACACACACACACACGTATATTTATATATAAATAATTATATATACATGTGTGTAATATTTCAAGGATTTGGCTCACATGTTTGTGAGAGCTGGTAAGCCTGAAATCTGCAGGGCACAGCAGCAGGGTGAAAACTCTCAGGCAAAAGCCGATGCTGTGGTCTTAAGCCGGGCGTGGTGGCTCACGCCTGTAATCCCAGCACTTTGGGAAGCTGAGGCAGGCAGATCACAAGGTCAGGAGATT